ATGTCTAATCAAAGCTACTGTTGAACCTCGCTTTTTATTCATTTATATCCGCTCTGGTCTACCATTGAGCACTCTGCTTGTAATAATTGCGATAGTTTACTTCAGTTATATATATATATATATATATGCATATAGGACTTCAGTGACAGTGTAGCGATTTTATGAATATCTGAAATTAACACTTAGTTAACAGCCTCTGCTCTGATGATGTGTAACAAATTATTAAGGGGTACAGTATCTTTATTCTTTCTGGTGAAAACAAATGTATTTTTTTATTCGAAATAGAGAGATAAAAATACGTTAAAGGAAATTTTATACATACATTAAATGAAAGTTTGTACATAGTCATACAACTTTTTTTTATATGGATATTCTGAAGAATGATTGTGTTTCCTACTTCTAACTATTAACATTATGTTTTGGACCTATTTTATCTAATAATGTTTCTGAAAAGTGGCATGATTCATCATCAAAATAAAAAAAAACTACATTGATTACTAAAAACCTCGAAAAAAAATATCTTTCTTAATGATTGCTGCCGAGACCCACTTGTGGTTACATTAATTTCGTACCTCACTTACCTGTCATCAGTGACGCTCGTAAAAGAACACCATGTTGACAAGCAGCGGAAGCCGACAAGTATTTGTCAGTATAAAAAGAGCTTTAATGACGTTTTTTAGTTGCAATTGTTGCTCTAATGAACCATGATAATATTTAGTACAAGTAAAATGGATGGAACGATCCAATGCTAGTTCGAGTATACACAAAACACAACTATTTCTAAAATTATATAAATAATAATTAGGATGAAATTAATATATTATGCTTCTTTGTTTATATCACGTTAACATTATTATTGTCATATTGCGAATTATTAGACAACCGAAATCGTTGCTGTATGATGGTGTACCAAGGACAATATTTTCTCATGCAAGAGGAGTAAGGCATACGTCAGTGATCTAGGTAAGTATTCAAAAAATAAATAAATTCAATAATCTAACCTCATGTATATTTCTTTCAGAACTAGAACTCTTTAACACCAATGGATTATCTTTGATATCTTCAGACAGTCCGGGGTGGAAGGATGAAGCAGCAATGTTCTTCTTCCATTCAGGAATTTTGTTAGAGCATGCGTCGTGAAGTTCTGAATATTCTTTAAATTGTTCCTCAAAACTTTCTTTGAAGATTGAACAAGTGCCGCGAAGAACGCAGATGGCATGTTCTCCTATTATTGTTACTTGCTTCTTTAATATATCACTGGCATCAAGGTTAATGGTGTTGATGCTGTCCATCTTTGACTTAGTCACTGCTTCGCTCATCTGGATGTGCGCCTGTGCCAAATCGTACCAAGGTCGTGGTGTTGTTGCAGCTGTAAAAAGGATCTTTACGACTTTAATTTAATTTCACTTAATCTAACATAACTTCCACTAAGGGGAAGAGGAAAACATGAATCCAAGTAAACTTATAATACTTAAACTGAGTATAGTTATTTATTTGGCCAAAACTCTCCAGGTGAGAAGAACCTCGACACACCGAGCAGCAGCATGAATAAAATTAATATCAACAATATTAATAATATAATAATATAATATATATAATATATATATATATATTGTAATATATCGTAATATTATTTTTTATAATGCTGCAGTTATCATTATACTTACAGTATTCCAAATTGAATAAAGATAAATAAATACACTAAAATAACATTAGATTCTACTATCTTTATTTAGGTTCATTTACCTTATGCATCTTTTGAAAAAGTGGCAAACTAACACCTTCTCTTTTATACTTTCCATTATAATAGATAACACCTCGTAGCAAATCCCAAGAAGAGTTGATGTTTACATTCAACTGGATGAGGGCTTACAAAAAAAAGTTCTGATTGTCTAAAAATACTCGGATTCTCTTTATGTTTCTAAAAAGAGATAGTGTGTGCAGGTATGTACTTACATAAATTAGGTTGTTTAATGTCATCATTTGATAATGGTTGAACTCGTTTCAATTCATCAGCATTCCTGTAAAAGGTTGAAGAAACAAAATGACCTATTGCATTATTGAAGATTTGATTACAATTTGTTCTGTTGATATGTAAAATACAAATTTACAATAAAGATGGATTATCATATTTCTGAAAATATAATTATATACCATATAAAGACCTGTTTATAATAGCGATAACGATAAAAAGATAAAAAGCAATTGTTTGTGTAGAAAATAAAAGTTTTTACACTAGCACCATTCGATAACGATTTATGGTTATTACGATATAAAATATTTTCACAAATCAAATTTAATTACGTTAAAATCATGGAAGTAAAACGATTTTATCGTTTTCCCATGATTATGACGTCATACGATTTGATTAGTAAAAATATTGAGTAAAATACACGATAAGTCATTACCGAATCATGCTAGTGAGCAAACTTTTGTTATTTCTTTTATTTTCTATATGAACAATTGCGTTTTACCACTTTATCGTTGTCGTTTTCGTTGCAAGTATAAACAGGCATTAACCCAATTAGTATTTACTCCTCTGTTTACCTTTTTCCAAAGGAATAGCTTGCAAAGTATTTATTATTGGCATATTTTGAAGATTTAATATTGCTTGCAAGTTCAAATCTACCAACCCTTGTTGGTGTTTTAATTCGGCACTCTTTAGCAGCTTCCTTCACCTCATCAGTTGCATTCATAGAATGCAGTTTCTGAAAAACACAAAACATAAACAAGAACTGTAACACCGCAAACAAGGAAGCACTTCATAACCTCACATCAATGTTTTATTGGATCGGTTAATTCTCAATCTATCTATTGTGTTAAAAATGTATCGTAACCCATTAACGTTTACAATACGTTCAACAATGACGTTGATGAAGGGAAGGAAAGAATCTATGTGGATTTTAAGCGACTAAACTCCGCTGGCCGTCGTGTTGTATTGTACTTTACATAACATCATTTCAAATTGCCTTTTATAATTTTGTAGCTGTAGTAATTGAATTATTTCTATCTATTGTATATTTGAAAATAATGTTACAATATATACTGTAAATAATAATAATTTTAAAAAAAACATAAAGGACCATATTTAGAACGTCGAACATATCTAGAAACTTTTTATTTTAACGATTGGTTGATTGGCAGTTGATTGGTAACATACTTACTTCAGGATAAACTATATATTTTGTAATAGTCACACTGATGTATTTCAATGTCATCATTTTATGCCAGCGGGTAGGACTAACAGACAAAACTCGTTGATGTAGGTTGAAATACATTTCCAAAAAACAATATCTGGTATACTTGACGAAATTGCAGTCACAGTATCACATAATTATAGCATAAAAATCAATAATGAAGTACATTAATCATTTTTTCTGACGGATGAAAATTGCTAATATTTTTGAATTTTCTTACCTGATCTATGGTCATAATTGTTCGTTTAGATAGCGCCCTCCTGAGCTTTTTATTTACATTGATTAAACTATCCGTTTCGCTATCAATCACTACGTTTAAATACTCGATAAATCCAAGCATTCCTTGTACCATACGTTCTAGC